TTTATTGAAAAGTAATCTACATTGACCTAATATTATACTTTACATTGTTTCGGCAGTCGCGTGTCACTAGTTAAGATTAAAATAAACATAATAGCGCTCAGTGCAACATTTGGCCTCAGCACTAGAGTAACAAGTTCTTTTAGATTTGTCTGTCTTTTTGATGCCTTGTGTTGCATTAGTGGACACTGGCACTTCCTTTTAATCACAATTATACCTTTTCTTTTATAAGCTCACTTCATCTTCTCAAAATAAGCATTTAGGTTCAAAAATCATGGTTTGCATATGCTTTACTAACTTAATAGGCAATATTCAAAATAGACTAGCCACTGATCTATGTTAATCCCTTCGTGATTCCTCTATATTTTTTGATATGATAGTATTGTACATAATATGCTAGCAATTGAAAAAATGGGTAAAGTTAGGTATTAAAAAGTATGCTTTATCAAGAAACTGGGTAAAAATTACTATTGCATTATGACGATAACAGCTGTCTTTGCTCTATAGTTGCCTGAGATTTTCGTCTTTGGATGTTGTAGTTATGATCACCAAGTTCATTTCACTCTCCATCCACTTAAAAATGCTACCCGAAACTGGGTCAGGATCGTGACTTTTACCTAAGAAAAAGAATGAATCATTATATTTGTTCAAGTTTTTGGTGCTAAAGCTTTAACTATATTAAAAATCTGATTAGTATACTGTAAATATCCGTCTCATATGTACTAAGGTAATTTTTTTCTTTTACTTATTTATGAAAAGACTTTACTCGTGATTTCATATTTGTATTCATAATTAAGACTCTTTGAGCAAAGACAGCATCAAAACAACAAAATTTAAATACTTTAATTTCTTTCTGAAATTAGGAAAATATTGATCTGCTTTTTAATAAAACCGATTACCAGGTTGTCTGGAGAATAAATGATATCGATAGTATTTTATCTAGTGTTTCACATATCTTTTTTTCATTCAAAAATTTGAATTCGTTTCTCCCTGTAGCTTAATTAAGCTATTTAACTCTACATCAAGTTCAAGGCTTATTATATACATGACTATGCATCATTTATAAAGCGGATTTTCAATTTTTTAAACTTTATTTTAACTGCATTTATTAGGGATTTGTGCCGTCCAATAAGGCCGTGGAATATCTGGGATCTGAGTCATATGAAGAGGATCAAGAGGATAATTATATCAGAAACCCAAATGAACAATCTAATTCTCCTGACCCCATCAAAGATTATCAGCTTCTCGGCTTTGGTCAGAATAAAAAAATATATGAATTCAGCTCAAAACATGAAAAATCGAAGATTTGTGTGTCTCCTGAAACATTTATTGTTGATAAATCATTCAGATCAGGGCAGGCCTCGGAAGAAAAGATTAAGAATAAAGTGGATAAACAAACGGAAAATATATGTAACGCTAAGAACAATGAAGTAAGGTTGAAAACAGTGCTTAAAAACGAAAAAGAGTATGAATCCAGGGAAGAGCAGGAGTTGAACAGAGAATCTAATCTTGAGGATGAAAGAAAAAGTTATGGAATGAAGCAATCCAAAAAGGTGGTTCAAGAAGAAAGCATGACATCAGTCCTCTTATATCCTGAAGTTTCATATGAAAAAGATTCTGATAAGGAATATCTTGGTATTCCTGACAGCTCAAGAGGCGAATACGACGATGATGAAGATTGTAGGGAAGGTGGCGAAGGAGGCCTTGGTACAGTGTCTAGTGCAGAAACTGAGGAAGCCTCGTCGGCAGCCATACTAGCTAACGTTCGCACCAACATTCGAGGTCTAGTTGCCGATTCACCTGAACGCATCGGTCCTTTGATCTCTCTGGCCGTCGATTATTTGTGGCAGGCCAGAGAAGAAGCTCCAAAGGGTTCTCGCGAGTTAGCAATCCGCAAGGCTCTTGACCGGCGCCCCGAAGAGTTTAGTTACGAGTTTGTCGATGAGGAGGGTGAGTAATTCTTCGGATATTTTCTGATTCTTTTGTTAACTTTTATGTGATGAGAAGTTAAAAGCTTGGGAGTCTAAAAAGGGTTTCCAGCTCTATAATGAGCCAGGGCATAGTATGATTGTATCAGTCTATATAGTATTCATAACTTATTCAGCCCTGTAGGGGTGCACCACTTTCGACATCGTGATCCACATCGTCAATGAGAGGCACCATCGTTAGCAAAGAGTTGCAACTTATCAAAGTGACAAGTGAAGGCAATTCCCTTGATCAATTTTTTGTTCAATCTTTGTTTCATCACTCTTCGCTCCTATTTTTGTTACTAAAAGTGCAGTTTGCAAAGCTTCTGTGTAATTGTTCTTAATTCCAGTTAGCCCCTCCTTTCCACTTCGGTTGTCAATTGGTCCTTGCTACTCAGCAAAATCACTGCCTGGCTGTCTGAAATCTGGCTGCCTATGAGCCTTAAATTACCGTTCCTGTTTACGTCATATTCAAGGATTTAGAGTCGGTGATTCCCATGCCCATCACCCATTTATCATTTTTCTCATCCCCACCTCCGTTGTATCTCATTCTTTGGGGCCCTGTTTCCGGCTTAATTCAAAACAACTGGTGTGAAAATGTACCGTTTCCCTTTTCCAATCTTGAATAGCCTAAAGCACACTTTTATCTCTCAAGTTGACAATACCATCTAATCCTAAGGTTCTAGTCAGTTGTTCATGTGGCCGTTATTTGGTATCCCCTTCTGGTCAGACATACCACCAATCACCTCTCATTATGGCCCATATTCATGCACGCTGATCATGTGCATCCCAGATGCGTATACACATTCTGATGAATTTGATAAGGACCTATTTCATTAATCTAGCTCCTCTAATGGTGTATAATCTGCATATGAGATTTATTCACCCAATTTCATTTAAGATGATGAAGGACTTGTAGTAGAATTTTCCCACAATGATATGAGCAGAACTGACGTTTCCATTGAATTTCACACCTTAAACGCAACAGGTTGAATATATCTCATATTAGTGATTTACTGGTAGCCTCAAAACTCTACTTAATACA